TAGTTAACAGTACTTCTCACACCAAGTTCTTGTAGTTTCAAATGTTAAAACATTTAGATTAGTTAACAGTACCTCAGATAGAACTGTAGTTTGGTTAGAAAATAAGTCTATATTTTAGATGGCTTGAATTAACATTGGATGGTGGTTAACTTACAGAAACTTCTTGAAAAAGTACTCAAATGTTCGCTTTACTTGCTTTAATAACATATAACGACGCTTTACGCAAGAAGGTCGATGTACAGTTATCTGACGCATTGTACTTAAAATATGTATCATGCCTTATAACCCTCCAACATGAGCGTCAACAGAAATTTTTCCGGGGGGGGGAGTTGGACAAAGTCGAAATTAAGGATATATATATAAACACATATACTGAATAAATAAAGAAATGTGTTTCCTCTTGTCCCCCTGAAGACGCCCACGCCCTCCAAAAATTTTAACCTGTATATATAAACACATATACTGAATAAATAAAGAAATGTGTTTCCTCTTGTCCCCCTGCAGACGCCCACGCCCTCCAAAAATTTTAACCTGTTGTGCGACACATTATAATTATTGATTTTTTTTATCATTGATACATTACAGGAGATTATTGACCAATGAAGTGTAATAAAATATCTGTTATTAGTGAATTGTGCCAATCGAATAATACATCAATATTATTATCTTCTATCTTCATCAGTTACTGGAGTTATTTATGACTAGGTGAACGAAACCAGTAATAAATATTCGTACATGAATACATATTTCATTATGTGATCTGTATAAAGCCGAACTACATGTTTGTAGCTTGTTCTGAGGCTATTTGAAAAGTGTTAGCAGCGAATCGGAACATTCCGAAGGAATTAAAGCAAACAATGGTTACATTATTTATTCGTGGCATGAGAATAAAGTAGACTAGGGTTTGTCTTAAAGCTGAATTCGATTCCTGTTTCAAAGCTTGTATACATACAATGGCATGTACACATGGATACGTTTCAGAATGATGTTGCCATGAGCTTGATTTACATAAGCACTTAGCTGCTTTGGTATGAAGTCGTGTTGCCCTTTTCTGTATAAATATTTATAACGATAGTTTCTCTTGTGTACTTCTATATAATACCTATATGTTGCTAATGTTATTCAAATCTAAATAAGAAGCACTGATGTTTTTAATTTGAAAGTATTTTATTTCACAATTGACAAAAACATCTTGCTTAATATATGTTTTCATTCTTCTGTTTGTATATTCCAACCAAAACAGATAACAAACTCGTGTATATATCCCTGCAAGTGTAAGCGGAACGTAGCATTCTGCCCAGAGGGGGTTCCGGTAGTCACGGACGGATGTGGCTGTTGTCCAATCTGTGCTCGTCAGCAAGGGGAGCCATGCAATGTAGTTCAACTGTGTGACACCAGGAGGCAATTACAGTGTGTATATTCATCACCATCTTCTGCTGACTATGGTATCTGCAGAGGTAGATATAGTACTATATTGTTTCATGTAGTTTTATCTGTTTTAACATTGGTTTGTTTATGTAATGAAATATATAGCTATTATCTAGATCAAGAATTAATTTTTCTATATAGAATACGAATGACATACCTGCAGTATAACTTCTAGATGATGTACGGCTATGTCCACACGAACGGTACCGATACACTCAGCTGTATGATACAGATATATGGATTAGGCCCGAAGAGAGGTGTTTCGTAATTTTATTGAAACTAATAGTTTTAAGAAATAACGCTATCTAATAATATGCACACTAATGGCTTAAGTAATAGATATTTCCACACATTTCAATAGAGTTCACATAAATATCTTTTGACTAACACATTTCAAAGCAGCAAAATGCCATCTCTATTTATTCTACTCCCCGGTGAGTCAGCGATAAGGCTACTAACTCACAACAATAAAAATACGGGGTATAGTCCCCCCCCCCCGGTTCACAGAGAATAGCTGGCCCATTATGTGACTTGGCGCTACGACAAGGTGTTTATTCTGTCTTCAAATATATCTGAAAAGAAATATGTGCAAAATAACTCGTGAAATTATTCAGAAATTTAACATGTGGACTCAAACTTGCAATGCTTGTTGCCTAGGGTAAGAGATAGCGAGCGGAATCACCTTAATCATTTTTCTCGTGGGCAAAGCAGTTCCAACTATATTCATAACAGCAACAAAACGTAGTTCTTACCGAACTTGGATTCCAAATTCAGCATTTGAGAACATTCTACGTGTAAAAGGAAATAAGTCACTAGATATTGAAATATTTTAGTATTGATTGAACAATCGATTTTCTGGTGTGTATCTTTTGGCAGGTATCAGTTATAATGAACATACTTTGAAGAAAACTCTGGTATAAGTTGCTTAAGCTGGAATTTGCCTGGTCATTGATTACACTTTACATAGTTTTTAATAACTCGTTCTTAACGATATTTTCGGCGGTATTTAAATCGACACAGCCTTTTGTCGTAAATGTAAGTCCAGCATGAGAAAATTACTAATCTTAGTGTAAACATCCGTACTAATGGTAAATCTTCTTGGCAAACCGTGTCTCTGATATATTCCCCTTGTGGTTAATAAACAATTATTGTAGTTATAAATAATATCACAACATAACTGCACATTAACTTCTGTACACTGTTATATATATGAATTGAGTAGGCTTAATCCATTGATCCACATTTTCATAACAATACATTTGTTTTCCACACCTGTTTTAAATCACTAACACTTTTGTTTCAATTGAGTTAACTGTAATGAATGAATAACAAAGTGCCAACAACCCTCACAGATGTTAAAAGTTTCCTTTCGACTAAAACTGAGAAAAGTAACTTAGAATGACCACACATTATTCAATTACGTAATAAACACAAAATGCTCAAAGATTTAGTAAGATGCGTTTTACTGCAACTGGGAGTCCAAAGTCCAAGAAGAACGTAGGACGCCCGAGAATAACATATAGACGGGTGACAGTGTCATTCGAATAATTTAAATATAAAACTGATTCAAAAATGGCAAAAAAATAAATTCAGAAATACAGGATATTCCGGAAGCGATTGCAAAAAAATGATCTACTGGAAAAGAAAAAAAAACCATTAATATTTTATGTGTGGACATGGTCAACCATTTAAATTTTCCAGAGGATCATAAAAACTAGAAGAACGATTAGACAATTGAAGTGGTTGAAAACTCCAGACAAGTTTTTGTATGATGAAGTTTAAGAAGGGGCGTGTAAGTTAAACATTGAAATATAGTATTAGGTTAATAATTATGTTGAAATGTTTCTACTGTAGGAGTAAGAGATACCGTTAACAATCATGGTATTTTGACAACGGGGCAGAATCAAACCATCTTTGATCGTCGCGAAATACTCAAAGGACGACGTTTATTTGTGCTGGTTTTCAATTTCAGTAGAATAATAGGCCAAAACATACTCCTCTGGTAAATAAAAAAGTATTTGGAAAAGACTGTTTGTTTGCATTAGAGCAAAACTACACACTAGCCTATCTGTGTTCTGTACACCATGGGGAATATCACCCGGATTTTAGCGTTGTAAGTCCGTAAATTTACCGCTGACCAATTGGGGGAACATTTGGAAAAGAAGAAAATAGTTGGTGATATAAAAGTTATGATATTATCAACTAAAAGTCTCGATGTGCCAGTTGAAATGTAATATCGTAAAAGAGAAGCCAATTAAACTTTAAAAATTTTATAAGATTTTACAAAACAAATTAAAGGAAATGCCTATTGATAACCTCAAATATCTGGCAGTAGTATCCACGTCTGACCAATATCGTTTAGAGAAGGACCTGCAAAATTTTGGTTATTCAATTTGCTGTATTCTAAAATTAATATATTATGCTTAATATTTAACTACTGATCATAAATTTGTCATTAACGAAATCAACACTTTATTCTTGTAATCTTTTCACACAGATTTGGACTTAGAACCGATACTGAATATTTCTATAAACACATCTCCTCTACATATTTCATTCACCTAGACGAAGAAGCAATTAAACACATCTCCTCTACATATTTAATTCACCTAGACGAAGAAGCAATTAAACACATCTCCTCTACATATTTAATTCACCTAGACGAAGAAGCAATTAAACACATCTCCTCTACATATTTAATTCACCTAGACGAAGAAGCAATTAAACACATCTCCTCTACATATTTCATTCACCTAGACGAAGAAGCAATTAAACACATCTCCTCTACATATTTCATTCACCTAGACGAAGAAGCAATTAAACACATCTCCTCTACATATTTAATTCACCTAGACGAAGAAGCAATTAAACACATCTCCTCTACATATTTAATTCACCTAGACGAAGAAGCAATTAAACACATCTCCTCTACATATTTAATTCACCTAGACGAAGAAGCAATTAAACACATCTCCTCTACATATTTAATTCACCTAGACGAAGAAGCAAAACGGTTCGTCACAAAAAAACTAATTTCTGCTGCGTTCAAATTGAAACCATTTTCACTATAGAGTATCGTAAAGCTAAATGTATATTTATTTTTGTTTTGTTTTTGAGAAAAAATGCCAGGCGTCATACGTCTTCTTTGTACAATTAAATCTGAATACCTCGTTTATAAAACATAGCATGAGGCTGCTGTCACGATGCATTAAAAGAAGAAAAGCGTATCAAGCATTAAAGAAATAGAAAATCTACATACGCTTAAGCCTTGCGTTTGAATGAGATCAATTCTGATTCTTCACTAAAGCGAGATTGTTGACTTGGGAGACTTTAAATAAAAATAAGTGATACATGTTATCAATCAATGTTATTACATAGTAGCTTTTGTTATAACTGTAGTCGTTTTTCATCGAGGTTCAAATGAAATTCTATTTAACGTTTATATTGGTGCCGTCCGTTTTAGTACTTTAAAAAATATTTACCATAAACCCTTCTTATTTCAGTATTGAGCTAATTTAAAGTAAAGCATAACCTTTATGTAACTTTTTATGGTAACGTCGTATTTTGCAGATATAAAAAGTTAGTCATTTTTTGCTTACTAGAATCATAGTTTCATAAAATATCAGCGTAAAAAAAAGTATTGAACAGTTGTAAAACCTGCCATTTTTAAGCATAAACCGAGATTACTGATTACCATGCTAACGTGGCTGTCGTACCAATATTAATATCTGTACTTTATTGTTTCTAACGTCATTATGACGTGCATAACAATATCAATCTTCAAAGGTCTGACGTTATTTACATGATTCTGATGTGCAGTTATTAATGTTCGCTGCCAGATAAATTCTGTTGTGACTTTATGGTGCCAAATTTAATATATTCAGTACTAAAAGATTAAGGAGCTTGTATGATTATGAAAAAAAAAAAACATGTGCACGTTTCTTTTTTCTCATCTTTTTAAGCATCGCGTGAATAGAATAATTGAAAACGTGTTATGTACAAATGAAAACATCCTGTATTACATATCATGGATAAAATCAGATAGTTTGTTGTACGAATTCTTGTATTAGTTTTATCTATTTAAAAAAAAAAAAATACAACAACAACATTGTCTTGCTTGTAAAAATTAAGTGTTAGTTGTGAGTCAAACAATTTAACACATAAACAAAAGTTAATTAGTTTCAAAAGAAGTTATTAAAATTGTTTTTAGTTTATAGGTGCTTAAGTATCGCCCTTCCCAATGGCCCAGCGGCAAGTCTGAAGACTTATAACGCAACAAATCGAGTTTCGATACTCGTGGTGGGCAAAGACCAGATAGTCCATTCTGTAGCTTTGGGCTTAACAACAAACAAACTTAAGTGTATCATTTTTGTTTCATTAGAAGTTAGAAAATTCAAATCAGTAACACTTGTTGTTGGTGGTGGAGAGAATTTGGGCAGTTTATCAACACGATCCTTTATTTTATTATAATTGTAAAACGTCTCCACTCACTGGATTTTTGTGGATCTTGACATATTAATCAATAAAATACTTTGCTCAGCTGAATAGGTTATTATAGAAGAACATACACTAAATAAATCGTGTTCCGACTGAAAAAAAAAATCCACGTCTTTACGAATTATTTTCACGTGTTACGTCCATTTTCAAAAACATAAACTAGTTAGTAGTTATGCAAAATTTAGTTTCTCGCTGTTGCAGTGTTTGATATGAAAACATATAAGGCGTTTTATTAGTTAACATGAATACATGTGAAACGATTTTTCATAGACCAGTCCTGATATCTTGCTAATCTATTATATTATATTCTCACATTTCCCAATATCTAGGGCCCCGGCATGGCCATGTGGTTAGGGCACTCGACTCGCAATCTGAGGGTCGCGGGTTCGAATTCCCGTCACAACAAACATGCTCGCCCTTTCAGCCGTGGGGGCGTTATAATGTGACGGTCAATCTCACTATTCGTTGGTAAAAGAGTAGCCCAAGAGTTGGCGGTGGGTGGTGATGACTAGCTGCCTTCCCGCTAGTCTTA